CCTCAAAAATGCATACACCCATTTTCATCAGGAGCCACAATAAACTTTGACAGGACTGGAATTGATGGGAGAACACCGTAGGCTTAAAGAACGCGGATGTCAACGTAGAAGGAACCCTCCAACTCCTTGCTGCATTCTTGTGCAAAGCCACCTCACCGCAGAGATCGCTCCCCAATCGACCGGTCCGCGGCCTTTTGCTGCCCTGCGACGCCCATGCACCGTTAGCAAGGAGCAGCCCGCCGCCTCCAGGAGCCTCGCAAGGCGAACAGTCTCCTGCAACTAGGCATGCAGTCACCAAGCTCATTTGGAATATTTGATCTTTTCAAACTCTCGAAGTCTTTGGACTACAGCCCTCAGGATTTTCAGAGACGGAAGCTCCAGTCAGTCCTGGACGGAAGCAAGAATGCGGATCTTGCAGCAAACGGGCCTCCGATGATCCCAAATAAAAAATACTATAAATGTTTTGGAATGGAATCGCTCTTACTCCACAAGTTGCTTGACTAATTGTTTCGCAATGTGACTAATTGTCTTGCAAGGTTCCGGGAACTAAGTGCTGTTTGTCTTGCTTGCTCTGACATACAAACCCACAAAAGCATTTAAAAGACGTCAGATGCAGCCACTGAGGCAGGGCTTGGGCGGCAGCTAGTTCTTGAACACAGTTGCAAGCTGTTTGGATCCCCTCCGCATCCTCAATCAAAAAGGATCCATAGCCTTACACAATTTGGCTGTAAGCACCTTTTGACTACTGAGCACCCAAACCCAGGAAACCATGTCTGACTCAAGACATGCTTTGGGCAAAATCTGCCCGCCTTCAGCCTCAGCGTTCTCCATGGGGCAACCCAAATTCCTCAGCCACATGTCACTCAGCCTGCTAGGGCTGACCTGCAGCCTCCCACAATAGCAGAAGCACCTCCCTTAAAACATCAGTCTGGCCAGTCGCTTGCCAAGCTGCAAGTCAAACGCGTCGAAACCCCCAGGAGCCAAGCTGTGCACCAACAACGCCATGTCTGCCAGTTGTTTGGGACAACGCCCACAAACTTGAACGATGAGCCTAGTAGTATGCAGAGCTGAGTGTGCAGAACTTCCCAGATGCAGCTGCCCAGTCATTCAAATCAGCATCTTGAAGCCGTTTCCGCCGTGAAATGATAAGCATTCTGCTGCCAGAGAGGCGGTCTATCAGCAGAGCCAGCCACTGTCACGAACTCTGCCATCTCCTGTCAGACTGAAACTCGAACCATTTTGGTGCTTTTGCTTGCAGGAGAGCTTGAAAGTCATCGGCATGATGTGTGCTCCTCTTCAATACCTTGAAGAAACTTCAAGCTCTTGAGCATTGGCGTGTAGCAGCAATGGGCCTCACACGATCTGCCGTGAAGCCGAAAAGCACAAGTCGGAAAAATGCATCCTGCAAACAAGTAGGGTACATTTAGCCACCTCAGAATTTCCCTAGCGCCAGGGCACAGAACCACTTTTCAAGAATACAAAGAAAAATGGCAAGGACAAAGCATCAAACCTGCACCAGGCAGTATGAGCTTACATGCAACCTTGTTTGTGATTCTGAAATCCAGGCCACACCTGCTCAAGCAGGCCCTGCTGAGACCGGCACACCCCACTTTCTTGCCATCAGGCGGAAAGCCACGTCGCTTTGCTTCACCTCTGTTTCTTCTAGTGGACTATGAAAGAGTTTGCACCTCGAACTTCTGGATAAAAATTAGAGAACATGTAAGACATCAAAATAGAATTAACAACTGCATCTGTGGGTCAGGCCATTGGAGCGGCGAAGTAGCGCGGGCTTCCCAAAACCTGAGGCAGCTGCTGCAAGTATTGAGCAGGCTGCAGGTTCGACAACCTGAACAAGATGTGCAGGACAGAGAACCTCTTTGTAGAATCGCTGCGCGGACAGCGACATGCAAATAACTTCCTGAGGTGCTTATGCCTGATGCTCAATGACGCCTCACGTCATACTCCACCACACTCCCGCATGTCTTGAGCCAAAAATCACACCACGGAATCCGCAACATCATCTGGAATGAATTGAACCCCTTCTAGGACCCCATCCAGCTGAGGATTGCGCGGGGGACTCACTTCACTGGAATAATCTCACATGCAGTGATCAAGGGGTTGATCTTTAACCAACTTTTCATCCTAGCACTGGCTCTCAGACTGGTTTAGTGTTAAGGGTTCAGACTTTAGGTCTTGGGGGGTTACATCCCTTGAGCCGACCTTGAGGGCACTCAGGAAAACGGGGGAGCTGGCATGAGGAGTTTCTCAGACATGGGAACCTTGAGGGCGCGATAGGAATAGATGCGGCTTCTTTGGGGATTCTGGGGGTCCCTCTTGAAGATTCATAGCGGAGGGTGAATTTTGGATGTTTAGATATTTTCTATATATCGGTGCTTGTCACAGGTGTCTAGAAGCCAACTTGACGGCATTATTCTGGCAGCGGGACACATTCGGTTGCTGGGGGTACAGGGTGTAGCATCAAAGGGGAGTTTAAGCTGACATCAGGCATCCTGTGACCTTTGCCCTGTAGTAAAGCATGAGGCCCAGATCTGCAAGCTTCCCCGAAAACCGGGCACAAGTGGCACCTTGAGATCTAGAGCGGCTCTCTCCGCAAGCTTCAAAGCCGATCCACATCTCTCTATTCTGACCTGAGAGCGAAGATGTTGAGCAGAAGAGGGTCTACAGCGAGAACTGGAAATCTGATGACAAAAGGTACAGCTTCACTTGCCTGCTACTACAATGACTACCACAATGACGTACTACTAGCGCTACCACAACTGGTGTTTTATCCTTCATGATGCCAGTACATCTATGGTTGTTTAGTGACAAACCACAACGGTAAATCGGTGCACAAAAGCAAATCTGACCCGGGTCAAAGTCATAGATACCAAGAGGTTGACAGGGAGAAGGTATCCGGGGCCAAAGCCGGACGTGGAGATGGCTGGCTTGGGGACGATGTGCTGTGAAACCTGAGGCGCGGTCAATGAATTTCGTGATTCTGGATTTGGACTTTAATGCTTGTACCACATCATTGAACCAACAGGACCACTCACTCGGAAATCACGCAACTCAATCAGCTTTGAGACACATGACAGGGCCCGAGCTCCGTGGTTGCTGCATCACAGCAACCGGGCCAGTTCCGATTTCAGACTCTTTGACTGAAACGTGACTTCAACCAAGCCATATTACAGGTGCCTCGTCAAGCCTTTTGAAACAATCAATAACCCCACAGGAAGCTCACAAGAACTTTTCGATGACAGAACTGCAAACTACGATGGAACACACAGAACTAAGGTGTTGGCCGATGCAGGAGACAACAATCAAACTCATACGTATCATCCTGCACGATACGACACAGAGGATCACTGTCTTGAGCATCACATCTCAATGTTCTATATACTTTCGGATTGCAAACCTGAAGCATTCATGCATGCCTCTTCGTGCTGAACCTTCCAGACTTGTTTGCCACTTCCGATCTTCTATCATGACAGCGCCTGCTAAAATGCCGAAACTTTAGCAAAGCTGGAGCCTCTTCCTCGTCGGACGAGCTAGTCGCCTCCTGCCCATGCTTCTGGCGTGAAGTAGGTAGCCATGCAAATTTGCTAAGCCTATCTGTTCCACAAGTCCGTTTGGCTGGTTGTTGTGTGGGATGTGCTTCGCAGCCACGCAAAGTGCCACTGATGTCCCTACTTTGAGCACACGGCCGTCCTCCTCAGAAAGCTCGCTTTCTTCCTCTGACTCATCGTCCTCGACCTCTTTGGCCAACTGCGGCTGAGGTGACGCCGCATCCTCCGCCATGCGAATAATTCGACATAAAAGCCTTCCAAGCAAACATAGTCAAAAGCTGTCAGGTCCTGCTCTATCAGGACGGTTGTGACCTTCAGACCCCAAAATGCAGCAGTCGTTGCTGAAAACATGCTGATGCGAAACCGAGCTGAGTCCGGAGCATCACCCAACGACAAAGTAGCCTGTGACAAGAATAGTCTGAACAAAGCCGCTTAAATATGCTGCATTCTGCACGAACAAGCGGACGCCGAGAATGTCCCAGACTAAATCTCGATCATCTATTTGCCTGGCCGAATTTCTTTCGCAGCTCCTTCAACGACCTCACAACAAGATGCCAAGAAAGTGCAGAGATTTCTGTATTTTTTGTGTGTACAAACGTGGTGAGTGGCAAACTCAACAAATTCTGAGCAAGATATGTCGGCTTTGTGTTGATTTCGTTGTAATACCTTGGTCATAACCCAGCTGAAACCCTTTCAAGTGAGTCATGAGAAGCTGTTGAGCATTACCCCATCAAAATCCAAACGCCGCTTGATCCTCGAAATGGTCGAGACCCTCACTCGCCCCTGACATTGGTTTGCCGGCCGAGCTCGTTGACGTCCATGGCCTGCTGCCCTACAGCCAAGAATGCTTGCCGAATTGGCAGATGGAAAATTACAGTGTGCTGTCATTCTTGGTGCCTCTCATCAAAGATAACTTCACAAAGATAATGATTATCACCATTGCGCATTGATTTCAACACGGCTGTAAGAACATTTGCCAGAATCATGTTGCGCCCGGAATGCCAACTTATATGAAACCTTCGTGCAAGTTGGATGAATGGTTCCTGAAAAGGCATTCACTTACATCACAACGAAACAAAACAGAGCTGCAGATCGCTTTTTGCATTGACTTCAACCCCCATGCTCCCGATGCTCTAAAGTACGTCACAAACATCCGCATGGCCCCGCAAGGCCGCTGGCAAATTAAACAACTGAGGGTGACATTTGCTTCCGCATGCATTTTTCGCGTGGGGGCGTGCTCGGGTCCATGCGAGCGATAAGCGCAACCCGATGTTGTCTAGGTGGCATAGTTGGCGCATCCTTCACGGAGGGGCACTCGATCTTCACACTTCCAGTCAGCAAAATCGCCTGCAGCTTGGAACACTATCCCCAGTAAATCTCCGAAACGAAGGAAGGATGGCTTCAACTTTTACGGTAAAGCTTGAAACACGGCCACACTAGCATTTTCCATGGATGTTTTGCTGAGATGCTGCTGTACCGGGGCGCGGAAACAAACGGATGGCAATCGCAAGAACGCGCACCTTCTACCGCCTCATGCAGGATCATGCACGGTGTCCTAGACAATCGCACAACAAACGCAAGAGAAGGCCCCAGAATCGGTAATGACTTGAATGCAACGCATCTGAAGATAACAAAAACAAGTGGACTTATCAACAGCTGACAATCCAAATTGCTGAGGGCTAGGGAATCCCTTGAGCAGTTGCACTTGGAGAAAGATCTCATTAATGATCGTGATTTTTTTACAAGGAGGCTTGGACATGTTGTTGCGGGAAAATACATGGCTCAAACAAATCCCAATGCCTGAAGCCATTCAGAAGCTGGACGCCGAGATCACAAGTCCGGAGATAATGAAAGCATCTCAGCAAAGCATGCAAAAAAATCCAATGCATTGGAAAATGCTGACTAATGTGGCACAGTATTCAGCTTTACCGCAGAAGCTAAAGCCATCTTTCCTTCGTCTCGTAGACTTAGAAGGTATACTGTACACATGGCCAAGTTGTGACTGGATCTCGCGCACAATTTCAACTCACAAAACCATGCACCTGCTTCCACATCGATGCGAATGCGTGGCAACATCAACAAAAATCCTTACTACCACAGTTGCGAATGAATTCGGAATTCATCACAATGCGCACATAACCATTCATATCGTGCCTCTAATCCTTCGCGTGGTCTTCAAATAAATCTTGCATCCCGTGTTTGTTCACCAGACACAATAACATCCGAACAGGATTTCATGTCATTTTGCCGACGCGGCTTCCAAACCCAAAAATTCAGCAAAAATCTCATAGATTAGAAACTCTTAGAAAATACTCAAGGATCTCTCCAAGAGGTCCTGGGAAGCTTTTGGGAGGCTCTAACGAAGCTGCGGGAAGCTCCCAAAGGTTTTACGTTTGCCCATCCGCCACCCTGCCAGCCGCCTCATCTTGCATCCGTGGGGCCCAGAAAATATGTTCCCATCTCCCAAATCGCTCCAGCTTAAAACTTCCAGCCAAGAGTGCTTCCCGCGCCCCTCCCAATCCTTCTGGCAATCTACAAGCCTTTCATATGCATCCCAGTTTCATCTGATCGAGAAATCGTAACTAACATCATCCATGCTGAGTGCCGCCAAGCTGGTGCGGTGCTGTAAATATACGAATCTCTGGATATGATTTTCAATAAATGCGAAGTCAATTCGCTCACCAGTTTCACCTTTTGTGAGATTGGGGAAAATTCGTGTGTAAGCAAAATTTTTGAAAGTTGCACTCAACTAAACTGCCAGGGCATGCAAAAACATGTCATGCAACACGCTACCGTTGCAATACAATACAACCATTTGGCACGCAATAAAAGCCGCAACCGGCATTTCTAGATCAAATCTGCCAAGCAGACAAAAAACGCAGAGCGCTGCAAGAAGGGCACTGCGCGCAAGAGTGAAAAGCAGAGCTGCAGAGCTGTCTTTTTAATCTCAAAGGGCGTGCTGTGCTGCCAGCACTTCGTCGGTCCATGCGGCATGCTGCGGGTGCAAGGTCACATGTCCTTGCGGGCTTGAAAGTGCTGCAAGAGAAATGCGTTCTCTGCAATGCGTGCGGTTTGCAAAGCGTTCTGTGTTGTTACGGCTGAGCTCGTCTGCCCAAACGTTTTTCTCTCCAGCCAGGTGGGAGATTGCGAGCTGCACGTGGTTGCGTCCGGACCATGCTGCAACAAGCTTGAGAAAGTGGC